ATGCCGCTATGTGCTATATATAGCGACATCCCTTTCTAACTATGCTCAAGACTAGATCAATCACTGAGAATCTTTCTATAATAAGGGCCTTAGAGTTTGGGTGTGCTGCCTTTTGTAGGTACTTTGTGCCCAAACTCTCAGTCAGTAGTCTTGTAATTTCCGAGTATTACAGCAGGACAACTAAAGCCCGTAATATAGAAAGATTCTCAGTGATTAATATAGTCTTGAGCAGTTAGCAAGGGTCACTATATCTACTATATCTCTATATTACTTAGTTGTCATTCTGTAATACGGACCTAAGTGTTGATCTTTACTAGAGTACAGTTAGGAAGGGATGCCGCTATATACTATATATAGCGACATCCCTTTCCAACTATGCTCAAGACTAGATCAATCACTGAGAATCTTTCTATAATATGGGCCTTAGACTTTGGGCGAGCTGCCTTTTGTAGGTACTTTGTGCCCAAACTCTCAGTCAGTAGTCTTGTAATTTCCTAGTATTTTACTTATTATCAACGTAGCTACAATTATTAACTTTGTCTGGAGAAACTCCCGACTATTTTTAAGTTTATTGCGCGATGCAGACTCCATTTACTATTCATATTGAACGCAGACACAATAAATACTTCATTATCTTTTGGCGTGGAGTTGAGATCACGTTCTATCCAAATTAACGATTTATTCCATTGCCTATGGACACTCCGTAACCGTAAATCATTATTTGGCCGATTTTAATACTAGGCGCATCTGGCCGCCGTTCGCCTGGATTCGTTCTTGGCCCAGTTTCTCTATGATGTGATTCGCACCAATAATATAAAAGTTTATCAATTTAAAAGTAAGAAGTGCAAAATATTATTTTAGTACATTTCTAATTATTACTTACTGCGACTTCGTCTGCGTTAACTTTGGTTCTTTTAAATCCCTCAGGATCTAATAATTTTCCGGGATAAAAAATATCCTATGTTTCTTTCCAGGTTATGATCTATGGTGTGAAATTTTATCTAAAGCCGTTCACCCGTTTTTGCGTGATTGAGTAACAGACATACCAAGTTTCACATTTACAATATTTGTAGGTAGAGTCTGTGCGGAAAGAGAATGGGCGTAACGAAAAATGGAACTAACATAAGATTTTTATTTGGCAATCAAATCCAGCAATCTGTAAAACGTCAAAGTTTTGTATTGATACGGATTTGTTTGTTGTTGTGTTTTCTTGCGGTTTTTTGGACTTAATCATGTCTAAAAGGGGTAAAATCTTACAAATACGGTAGAAAAGTACTACAGCGCCCTCCAATCTAAATCTCATTCTCTTTCCGCAAAGACTCTATTTTCTTGTTATTTTTTTTAATCTGTAGGTATCAATTCTTTTAAATAGACACAAATAAAGCTTTCTGCGTCCAATTTCTTTATTCATAAGTGACTAATTTTGTAAATTTTCGTAAGTGTTGATTAAATTTACCTTTGGGAGAAATGTGACTGATGATTTGTTAAGTACCACATTCACAATTTCACATAAAAACTATCTGAGTCTCTCTTGCGCGTGATCAAAAATAGATCTTCAATCACGTTGCCTGCACTAAAAAAGCATCATCGGTGATTTATTTTTGTGACAATTATAATTAGTTGTCATAAGCACCATATAATCGCACTTTGTAAATGAACACTCTTACCAGAGCTCCGTGGTGTAAGGGTAAAGATACCTAAGGTTCAAGCCGGAATGGTGAGGGTTATTTATCATGAGAATTTGGATTGATTTGCTTAGTTATCATGAGAAAAACATCGAAATATTTGCCTAAACTTATTTAGAGCAAAGGGTAGTAGACGTTATAGGCGTCGATAAAAATCTATTACATTTTAACTCTTTAGATTATTTTATTGTCATAAGGAAAATAAATACCTGTGACCATCTAAATAGCAACCTACCAGCGGCAGCAGACTTTTGGGGTAGTCACAACGTAGAGTCCTATTTATAATGTAGATACATTGGTATTATTGTTTTAAACTTTCATGGTCACTAACATTATAGCTATTAACGGGATTGTTACCATGTACCTTGTTTTTTATGAGTCTCCGATATTTCGGCATTGTTGCAAGCGCCATGATCACGGGTAGATGTTATTGGCAGACATATCGGTTTACCTTCTGACGTCGTCTTTTACTGCGCTCGATCTACCCGCAATTTCTAAAGTTACTCCGTGATCATGGCGCTTGCAACAGTGCCGAAATATCGGAGACTCATAAAAAACAAGGTACATGGTAACGATCCCCTTAATAGCTATAACATTGGTATTAATTACACAGGAGTTTTAAATTAATAAGTTAGACTGAGACATTGAGGCGATTGAATCCCCTCATTTATCTTAGATAGACACTTAGGCCAGGACATCTATTTGGATGGGCGCACAAGGGCCCTATTCGCTTATTCATATTAGATAGTACCACAAGCCTTACTTATTCATTTAAGATAAGCACATAGGAAACTAAATATCCATTTACAGATGGTGCCGTGACCATAGTCTTAGTCACGAAGCACCAGGATGTACTAATTTTAGATTAGGCTTAGCTTTTCTCAACCATCTCAGGTATGGGAAAAACATTATAGAATAGCACTTCTGAATTCAGAGCTGGATAAAAAAAGTGAAACCTAATCTAAAATCAGTATACATCCTGGTCACGGCACCGTTTGTAGAGGATATTAAATGTACTATCTAAATATGGGCTAGTAAATATCTAAAAGGCGTAAATAAGACTTATGATACTACCTAATAAGAATGGGCCCATAGAGCCCTCATGCGCCAAGCCAAATAGATGTCCTGGCCTATCGTACGAACTTTCAATAGGGATGATGACTATTTTTCTTTTCTTCGTTTATCAGGTAATTTATCAAAAAGTATTGGACACGTATTTTTTCTTTTTTCACATAATATAAACATTGCAGAGATATATTGATTTGAAAATTCGCATTCGTTTTACAATTAAACAAGTACAATTTTCACTCAAAAGTGACGTCACGAGCCCCTACTCCTAAACTTTGACGCGCTATAACTTTGCCATTTTTTGGTTGATTGTCCAAAGAAAAAATACGTGTCCATTATTTTTTGACCATCTAACTGACGGACTAAATAGAATTTTGTTTACTGTACCCCGTCATCACCCCTATTAGGTACGCTCCTTCAGCGGCATATATTTTATTGTTTTCCACAACCTCTTTTAGCGTGTCAAATTATCGCCAGTCAAGATATCGTCTAGCGTCTATAGACACCGATAGAACTAATTCAAAATTCTAACGCTAATTTTTAGCGCAATTAGAATCAAAGCTACCCAAAGTTTCGTGAGAGAAGCATATTTCTGTATTCTGTGATAAAAACAAATCCTATTTTAATCGCGGAATCTGCATTGAAATTTGAAATTAGAATATGAATTTCAAATAAATTTTAAATCACACCGGCGAATTCCGCGTTGAAAAGTGAGTTTGTTACGGGGTGAATCTGCTTCGTTCACCCCACAGAACATAATCTGTGATTCACCCACTCGAATGTTGATTTGATCCAGCTGTTTAGGAGTTCAATCTGTGGTTTCAGGAGGAGCGCACGAGTTGTTTTTCTTGAAATACATCGAATAGATCTATACTAATGTGATACTTTTGCACACGTGAATTTTTATCGGTCGACATCCGTTTGGATGCATTGGTTAAAATTTTTGTTAGGACTAAGGAATTCGCTAGCTTTTCTAAAAGCTATAATGTATGGATTTCACGCGCTCAGAGGTGTCTTTTTTTTTCTTAAAAGTTAGAGGGCGTAATTAAAATACATGGATGATCATTTTATATCGTTTAATCGATTTTCTCATTGTAACCTTTTCTCTTCTTCATATCTACAGATATCCACCACTAAAGTTTTTGGCACGATATTTGGCATTTAGATTTGACTACAATAAATATTGATTAACTCATGTTATTGTGGTGATGGCAATTTAGGTACTTGTGTTACTTTAAACTTTGAATTTTCAAGGGATTTATTAAAAAATGAATAGGAACATTTCTGTTATAATTGATTTCATTGCGTATAACTAGGTATAGTCGCACTAAATTTGTTACAATAATTATTTCTTTAATTTTTACAATGGAACAACCTTCTGACATTTACAATAAACCACATTTCTTGAGTCAAAAAACAATTTGCACAAAAATTTAAATTATATACAAGAATGCTAATAAAGATTTGTATAAAAGTTTTCTTAAATAATAATTTTAATATGGAAAGAAAACACAATGATATTAGTTGAAATAATTTATTGTTTGCAAATAAATATGTAGGCCTCTTGCATTTCAGTTTCCTAAAACCTAAAAATGTTTATACAAATTATTGGCAAGCTGATCAATTAGGTAGGATAAATGATACATTAGTAAATACTTCTTTGACTCAAGAATGTTATCTGTACACAATTTGTCTACTAATATTCATACGAACACAACAATTTCCAACAATATCATCGTCTAGCACGAGGTAACGAATTAGGCACAACTAAGTTCCTCCCAATATATCTTTCTTAACATTAAAACTACAATTGGATTTTGGAAAGTGACGCTGCAATCTGTTGGCAGCTCCGGTCCTCGCCTTTGATCAGTAGAGTAGAGCGAGTTTGTCTTTACCAACACATTTCACGAAAATTTTGTATTCCGGTACGTAGGTATGTTATTTTATTTTCGAAATTATTGCCGCTCTACCTCAAGTCCGGCACTGCTTGCAGGAAATAGTCAGATTGACAAATCAATTGGATTGAATTTACGCATTCGATATTAATTACATTACAATTTATTACTATTATTGCTTCATTTGTTCTGGTAATATATATTCCTCCATAAAAAGAAATCTGCTTTCAAAATATTGTATTAGAAATAAAATATTGAAGAAATATTTTCATTAAATCAACAAACAATAGCTTTGCAATATCATCGATTTACTTCATAATTATAGTGATTGAGACATCATTGCATAACGTAAAATGTCTTTTGGCACGTAAAAGTATACACAAATTGTCACGGTTTATCAAGCTACAAAAAAGACAAACTCATTGGAATATTTTTTTGACTTCAGCATCTTACAGTGTTTACTTTATCTACCGTTACTACCATACTTTTAATATTAAGTATTGCTTTATTGGTCTGTCAAATATTTGATAAATTGGTGAGAAATTGTGTATAAAAGATAAGTTGTGTGCTATCCGTGTGCTTACATTCGATTATTTATTAACTAGAATAGAAAAGAAGAAAGCTGTTTTATCAATCACTACGAGCAGCGAAACTATTAATAAAATATTTCTAAAAGTTGAACACTAGATACTCTAACGGAGCAGCCTCAATTGCTGACTTTACAAAGGCCTTCGATAGGATTCATCCTGAGATCACGTTCTTAAAGATTAAGTAAGTACAAACTATTATTGCGTGTTTAGAATTGCACTGTCAAGATTCTTACGATTACGGATAGTTTCGAACGATAAGTCTTTACACTCCCTAGTATTGTCCACATCAGGTAGGGTATCTCAGGGCAGCGCACTGGGCCCACACTTCCATATTTCAGACAGATAGAGAGGTTCCACTCCCTGTTGCTGATCACACCGAAGCGCTTCATACAGGCGGGTCCATGTCACGCTGCAACGACGTCAGTCACGTGTGGAACACCCACCCGGGAATCGGAGGTCACGCGTCTGGCACTCCATGAATGTGGTGCTGGTAATTGTGATTGAGTTTGTTCGCGAACTCGTGCATTATGTCTCTGAATATTACGGAGTCTAGATTCTCTCCGAGTATGTAGAGTAGGTACCAGTCGCCCATTTTGCTTCTTCTGACTATCGTGTCCACGTTGTCGCGTCTGACTAGACGAAACCGCATGCGCATCATATAGACCCGCATGCGTGGGGAGAAGATGATGACGAGCCGGTACAGCAAGGTGATGAAGGTGAGGAATCCGAGGATGACGAACCAGAACCAGAGGAAGACGTAGATCTTCTCGTTGACGACGTTCAGCGGCAGAATGCAGAGCGCGTCGTGCCGCTCCACCTCGCCTGACGAGCCGAATTTGTTGAATAATGTGCATTTTACCATTCTGTAATAAACCAAATACAGAGATTAGATCTAAACCTTTCGAAAATACATTTCTTTTGATTTTAACAAAACTAAAGTTAAATTCAGTCTTTAAATCATACTGTAATTTATCCTTTTTGTTTGCTAAAGGTCGATGGCGTAAGTGGTTAGCGCGTTCGGCTGCGATCGGTTGAAGTTAAGCAACTTTCGCAGTGGTCGGTCATTGGATGGGTGATCAAAAATTTACTATCACTAGTTCCTCCGTGCTTCGGAAGGCACGTTAAGCCGTTGGTCCCGGCTGCATCTGCAGTCGTTAGCACCCGCCAATCCGCACTGGGCTCGCCTGGTGGGTCATGGCCCAATCTCTCTATTCCATCCATAGGGAAGGCCTGTGCCCCAGCAGTGGAGACATTAATAGGCTGATGATGATGATGATGATGTTTGCTAAAGAAACGATAAAGACAGCATTGAACAAAAACAAATTTTAAAATTACTAATGAATATATGTTTATGTATGAATTTATTAGCTAATTTAATTAATAAATATTATATTTAATTCTTTTTTATAATTTTGTGTTTATTTATTTATTTGCCTACCGTAAACTCCCACCAGTTCCAAAATTGGGAGACCTTTCTGAGAAGAACTGGCGAAACAAACTCACAGAGGCTTTCTATCTCCTTGTTATTTCAGTGTTTGTCTTGCAGTGTGTGTTCGGGGTTGATTTTATCTGTTGTATAATGGGTTCCCAAGCTGGCGGTATATACCAACCATCTTCCCTATTGAAATTGGGATATTACTTAATCTCAATAGCTTCGCGTTTCATCCTAGGAATAAATCGTTGTTCAGTTGCAAGGATCTGTGGTTTATCAAATCTAATGTAATGGTTCGGCCCCCTAATGCTTGTTCACACACTGCAGACTTATTTTCGCGCCTATGTTTCATATCTGCAATATGTTCTTTTACCCGGGTCCCTATACTCTTCTGTGTTTGCACTTTGCCCGATGTAGGAGAGCCCACAGTCGCATTCAAGTTTGTGTTACAGTACGAGGCGTTACTAAAAGGAGGCTTCTAGTTCTAACCCCGGCATGAGTTTCTATTTCGTGATTCCGTGATAACTTCTAAATTCTGTATTCTATGTTGATCTTACCTTGGGAATATGTAAATCATGGGGTCTATGCGGTCCTCTTGATCGGATTCCATGTACGCGATGACATCCAGTCCGAAAGTCATGAACTCGCCGTCGAAGAACCGGTTCATGAGGAACATTTGCCCTGCAAAATAGAAAGATGTGATCTTAATAAAAGCACGGGGATAGGAGCTCGATGGCGCAAGTGGTTAACGAGTTTGGCTGCGATCGTTGAAGTTAAGCAACTGTCGCAGTGGTCGGTCATTGGATGGATGACCAAAAATTTTACTGACTCGAGCTCCTCCGTGCTTCGGGAGGTACCTCAACCACTAATCCGCACTGGGCCCGCTTGGTGGGTCATGGTCCAATCTCTCAGTTCTATCCATAGAGAAGTGCTGTGCCCCAGCAGTGGGGACATTAATAGGCTGATGATGATTATGATCTTAAGAAAACTAACTGAATATGCTAGCTGCCAATTTTAATTTGATAATTTTCCCATGGTGCCCTGGAACCGAACCATCATCATCATCAGCCTATTAATGTCCCCACTGCTGGGGCACAGGCCTTCCCTATGAATGGAATAGGGAGATTGGGCCATGACCCACCACGCGGGCCCAGTGCGTTTTGGTGGGTGCTAACGACTACAGATGCAGCCGGGACCAACCGCTTAACGTGCCTTCCGAAGCACGGAGGACCTCGAGATGGTAAATTTTTGGTCACCATCCAATGACCGACAATGCGAAAGTTGCTTAACTGCAACGATCGCAGCCGAATGCACTAACCACTTGCGCCATCGAGCTCCTCCTCCTCCTGCCTGGAACCGTACGTAATGATAATTACCCATAATATTTTTGATTATATTACAGACAAAAATGCTTGGGTTTGAACTGTTCCAATCATTCCAACAGGTTTTCTATATTAAATAAGTCATAATTATATTGACGTTGTAACAACATAATGATTTGTAAATGTTGTTACATTATACTTTTAATGTTGTGGAGTTTTATTCACTCGTTTTTCTCCGCAGCTAAAAAATATGTCCATAATGAGTGGCAGGGAAAAAAATTACCCATAATCTTTTTGTAAGGTGCGAGTTATTTCCCCAAACGGGCGTTCTAACGCTGCGATTACAATGAGGGCTATCGTTTTTTGTCTCACCAGATGGCGCCACTGTTGAGTGAGGTCCTGAAGTGTAACTTTTAAAGTTAGTAAACACGCTCGTGATATCAAAGTTTACATTTTAATACAAAAGAATCGTATCTTAAACATAATCGCCCATGCCACAGTGTTGCGCAGTCCCGTTTTGTTCGGAAAAAAGAAGGACAATATTTTTTCTTAGCTCCGGTTTTAAATAACTGACAATCATTGACAAGTAACTCATATTTGCCATAATAAGTCTGATTTATTACCAAATATTCACAACTATTATTTTAATTAGAAAAAAACCGCGTAGTCAACCCGCAAGCTATAACATTTGACATTTCGGAGACCTCACGCAACACAAGCGCCTCTAGCGGCGGTTTCAGACGCGATAGCCCTCATTGCTTGCTAGCCCGGGTACTAGAGCCAATGGATTTAGGGTAAAGGACTAAGTGTAAAGAACAGAGTCGAGTACGCCCTTATTCGAGTAGTTTTCTCGTTATTAGTTGTTCGTAGGTTACCCGATATCGTCTTTCAGCCTGCACTATACTACTTTCTTTATTTTTGTCCCAACTTACCACTCAAACCTTTGGTTGTACATGGGACTCGTCTCCACAGAATAAACAATTCCTTTGTGGGCCAATGTATACGTTTTTACAATAAGCTTCCAAATAGTATGAGAGATTTGCCTATTAATAAATTTAAAACAACTTTAAAAGCTAAATTGTATAAAAAAGCTTATTATAAAATTAATGACTATTTAAATGATAAAAATGCGTGGGAGTAAAATCTGCCCAAAATTTACGCATCCAAAACTGTACTTTTAGTACCTTAATTATTATTTTTTGTTATTACTATTGACCTGTAATGATGTTGTAAGATCAGTACGAAATTGTAAGCTGTGGAGTTTCTTTCGCGACAAAGCAGCATAATAATTAGGTATTTAAGTGAAATAATTATATAATATATTAATTTATTGACGATTTAAAAGTACTTAGCAAAGTCCATTTAAATAAAGATATTTTGAGTTTGAGTTTGAGTTTGAGTTTAAATAATTATTAAACATAGGTGTCATTTGGGACCACTAGCTTCGGTCCCGAATGCCGCCTCACAATAATTTATTAATTCCATGTCCTCATCAGGAGCAGTAGTCCCGGTCCCAAATGACTACCGACTCATTCCTAATTTCTCCGGCCTAATGCAATATACCCATTATTCTAGCGGATGCTTCACAATCATGTAGACAGTAAGACAGAATCAACGCTACGATTATACGGCTGAAAATTACGTTTTTTTTTAACACACACCAATTAGCCTAGCCCCGAAGCAAGCACTATAAGGCTTGTGTTATGGGATGCTAGGGTAACGGATACAATAATATAAGTATATTTATATAATATATATTAAACATCTATGACTGGAGTACAAATGCTCGTGTTCATCACACAAACATCTGCCCCCACCGGGATTCGAACCCGGGACCTCTCGAGTCGGAGACACCATGAAACACGGAGTACTAACCACTCGGCCACGGAGGTCGTCTAGTTACAACTAAGAATTGTAATAAGGTCAATGCTGGTGCCATGACCTTTTGATGGGGGTAATATTTGATATTTGGCAGTTATGTAAGTTTCTTCAGAAAAAATATTAATTTGTTTCTTAAAAACAGTGATGTTCACACACTTAATACAAGAAACAAAAATAAACTAATTTTACCTGCTACTAGGCTTCACAAAATCAATAATTCATTTAAAGGTCTTTGTGTTCGCTTATACAATAAAGTCCCAAGCAATATCCAAGAGTTAACCATAAATAAATTTAAAGATAATATAAAAAAGAACTCATTAAAAAAGCTTATTACAAAGTGTCTGATTATATTACAGACAAAAATGCTTGGGTTTGAACTGTTCCAATCATTCCAACAGGTTTTCTAAATTAAATAAATCATGATTGTATATACGTTTTATCAACATAATGATTTGTAAATGTTGTTACATTATACTTTTAATGTTGTGGAGTTTTTTCGCTCGTTTTTCTCCGCAGCTAAAAAATATGTCCATAACGAGTGGCAGGGGAAAAAAATTGAACGATTCAAAAGAGTTGTACTATACATCCAATTTCAATAAAGATATATTGATTTCTGATTGAACTGTAAAATCGGCCCTGAAATAATTTCATCTCCTCATTTTATCCTATTACCATGGGTGATATTTGTCTACATAAACATGGCAATAGACGCAGATTGGCATCGATGGTGTAGACTCACAAAGCGACAGTGCCTCTTGACTGAGGCGCTGTAGAGGCACCGGCGGGCGCAAAGTCAGCGGATTGTCTCACATAATGTACACAGCGGGGGCTCACTCGCTGCGCTGACTACGCAGAATTTCGGCTGAGGGCGAAGGTTAACAACATCTCGCGAAATATCACAAAAAGAGATTAAATAATGAATTAACTTGTACAATGTAATCGAAGACTGGACGCGTTAAAAATACGCTACCGAACTGCTTTTGAAATGAAATGAAATGAAATTTATTTGCATTAACTGTGGTTACAATGATGTTTTTAAATGATTAGGTCAGATCGCACAATTAGCCGTTTCCAGCATGCAAAAATTAATTGAAATATAGATTTATAATTTATTATATAATGTTATGACTTTTTTGTACTTAGAGCATATCGCTTAGTCTATGTAAAATACTTATTTGCAAAATATGAAATCTAGTTTGGTAAAAGTTAAGAGTATATTAAAGTGATGGCTATGAAATTTCCGATCTGTACCCTTAGTACGTGTTTAAGCTCACGAAAACTATCATAGTTTTCGTAATTGTTAAATATGTTCACCATTTTGGTGAAAAGTAACCAAATATACTTAAAATTTAAGAAGACGCAAATGATTTAATGATAGAATTTAAACACTGTGTATTTGTATTGAAACGAAAACAATACCCTTAGTACGAGTGCGGGCTCACGAAAACTATCATAGTTTTCGTAATTGTAAAACTCGTACTAAGGGTACTGGTTTAAGTTGAAAAATACCCGCCGATGTTGTTAAATTAGTGCCATCAAATTTAAAGACTATGTTAAGAAGTATTTATTGACTAGTAAAGCCTAATTATTATAAACTAAAGAAAATATAACTAGAAAAAATTCCACGCGGACCAGGCAGCAGACGGGACTCGAACCCGCACCCTTCGCAATCCGGGCGAATGCACTGACCAATTATGCTACCGCGGCCCTCACGGACCGCGTCGAAATTCCTTCTAGCTATTCTTAAGCTGCAAGGCAGCGCCATCTCTTCGCATTATAGGTAAACCCACAATTTTCTTTAGATTTAAACATCAAGCAGTTACATGCTTTAAAAATAATAAAAAAAAATTATATTATAAACTAGCAAACCTGTGAACCAAATGATCACCAAAAAAAAAAAAAGTATTTAATTAAACTTCGGAGATTTTGTGTGGTTTCGTTTGAAATAGAAATCACGTTATTTCTCGAAAACCGGAAGTGCTACGTTACTCAAATCCGGTTTGTAGTCTTATCAGACTATTCTTAACTTATAACTTAAACATTCTCTTTATCTATCTCTTACGGTTTGGCCGCTGAAACAGCACCACGGACGGACGGACGGACTTGTCTAATAGATAAGAGACTGGCAAACCAGTGAACCAAATGTTCACCAAAAAAAAAATGTATTTAATTAATTGAGAACTTCGGAGATTTTGTGTGGTTTCGTTTGAAATAGAAATCACGTGATTTCTCGAAAACCGGAAGTGCTACGTTACTCACATCCGGTTTGTAGTCTTATCAGACTATTCTCAACTTATAACTTAAACATTCTCTTTATCTATCTCTTACGGTTTGGCCGCTGAAACAGCACCACGGACGGACGGACGGACGGACGGACTTGTCTAATAGATAAGAGATTTGAGGGCTATATTGTAGATAAATAAACTTGGAATGGGATTAAGTTTGCTCTGCGTTGGCCACTAACTAATTTTTATTAAT